AAATATATGTTCAAGTAGCAGGGAAGAGTTTTACAGTTATTGATCATCCATTAGAAGTTTATGGATTGCCCAGTGTTCATGAATGCATTGATGAAAATCTGTTTCTTCATCTGATTCTGAATATTGATGCAAGGCAATACTCTGATTATTAAAGTCCTGATTTCCTTTCTTTAAATAGACATAAAATTTCTTATAAAGATTTATTATATAAAATCTTAATTGTTTATATCAATATTTTATACCCTAATTTAAAACACCTTATAACTTTAAATGCTTTTACTTTAGCTAATTCATTTTATACTAATAAATATAGTTAACATATTGTATATAAATATGCACGTTTTATTAATTATAAAGATTTAAAGATTTTGTGGAAAAAATTGCTGATATGTTTGAAAACCGTACTCAGAGTTTATTGATAAAGGACTTTACAAATCCCATTTTAGTCTTTGGCTCCTTGGATCAGCAAAGGAAGATAGGGTTAAAAGACATGCAATTTTTTCAGTTAAGGAAGGACATCATAAGTTAGAACATTACTGTATTTAGTTTAGCCTAAATGGAATGCTTCTGAAATCTGACCACAAACCATTTCTCCTGATAAGCCAGAAAGAGAGGAGTTTCAACTCATCGAATATGAATCACCTTAAGTAAGGAAGTCAGCTTAATTATCGAAAAATATGGATGGCTTGAGATTGGTGACATTAAGAAGGGATTTGTCAACTTTCAAGTGAATTCATTGAAGTATGCCCTATTTGCAATATATTAAATGCTACCAGTAAAAGCAATATAACCGTATTATAAAGATTAGCATTTGGTATAATCAAGCCAAAAGAAAGACCTAAACAAAAAATTATTGATAGAATGGCCAATGTCGTAGAGTTGCCAGGAAGAGTTATTAATGTTAATAGGCCAAGAGATACCCTGAATCATATCCTGATTTCTCGAGTTCTGTAAAAACCACTACACTCATTTATTCATTTATGGCAACATGGAAAACTACTACGTTGGGAGAGATTATTATGACATTAAAAAACAAAATGCATGATATTTCTTCCTTACCATATTATATCTAGATTTCTTACTGAAAATCTCTTGGTAATAAATCAAAAGCCAAACTTGACTTGTTAAAAGCACCTGGCTTTCAAATTTGCAATTGTAAAAACATATCAAGGAGACTTATCCATAAATGAATATGACATTATCATAGTACAAGTTGAAAGTGTTTTCTGTGTTAAATTTATAGCCCGTCTCTTTGTAGCTATCGTACAAATGCGCAGGAACCTGAGAATTCATTGCGTAATGCTTAAAATCTACGAGACATGTATTGGCAATGGACGCCTTCGCAAACATCTCAACATTAAGCTTCCTAAAGATTTATCGTAGTGAAGATATTCGTATAATTGATAACAGATACCAACCTCGTGTGGGTGAGACAGTTAAAATTCTTTATAATCCGAATAGTGAGTCTGAAGTTATATAAATAGGATGTGTGCTTTTGAAGCAGAGAAAACATGTGGGATTTGTATTTACAGGAGCGATGAGGAAATAGCGACAAAAAGACTTTTCTGATATTAATGTCGCTTGGGGCAAGTTTGACTGTGTAAATACAGTGTATTTATAGCTATTACGAAATCATCACTCCGGTTTATATTGAGGTTCTTGCACAAATGCTTTACCAAATCCGTGAATGTCATCATCATATTATTTCTATGTTCTACCAGAAAAATTCTAACGAACTTTTTCATCCATCAGATTGTGAAAATAATTTATCTACAGAAATAAAGGGACATTGTGAATGGAATAATAAAACCATTTCTTATAAAGTTGATGAGTCTCCGGCCGTAATAACTTTCGTCTAAGTTGAGCATCAGAAACGTCTTTCTGCAAGATATTTTATTGAAAGCCTTGTAGTCTTATAGTCAGTACCGGCGCTGATCTCCAATTAATAAAGCGGAGAAGTAATAAAGAAGTACGCAATGAAATTAGGGTTGAAGCATTAATTATCAAAAATATAGATTTTAATGCAATTGCAAATGCTATAGCACTTAAACGTTTTTATATGCGGAATCTTTATATTGTAGCAAAGACATGAATATCGAAGATTGGAATAATACAGTATTTGTGATAGCAAATGTCTAAGTATTATAAGCAACCCAATCCCCAAGAAATCTGGATCGTACATTTCTCTAGTGAAGATTTTGTTGTATTTGATCCATATTGGCCATGCAAAAGCTTTAGGAAAGGTGATAAAATGTAGTCCACTTCTGACACGATAAGGAGTTTAAAAATGTGAGAATGAGTGCTGGATTTCTGGCCAATTTTGCGAAATTATAGATGAACCATATAATAAAGCTAGCCGTGGTAGTCTATTTTTTTTAATTTTGTTTGCGCAATATAGAAATATATAATGGCATTTAATCAGGCATATTCTAACTTATTAGCGAAATTACCAGCTTCCTTAATAAATGAGGCATGGATACATCACGAAAGCGTAATCCATTATCTGAGATAGAGGCTAGTGAAATTAATCCAATTGTAGAATCATTTTTATAACATGGTTAAAGCGCTAGAGATGAACTCAAAGTTGGTCGAAGTGACCAACATCATTCAAAAAAACATCATGAATATATGTTACGAGATCATGAAGATAATTATCGCCGGGTCATGAACGAACTTAAAGTCTTATCTCAATATCTGCTCGATTATAAAAGAACTTTTGAGAGGTTCATGCAAAATATTAGTCCGAATAAGAAAATGCGATGTGAAAATGAGGATCTGAAGATGCAGTTGCAGGAGGCGGAAAAAAAGCTGGCATCTATGAAGTCATTAGCTAGGGCACTTTTTTCCTTACTCTTTTTAGATCAAAGACAAACAAACTACTTTTACTCACGTATCTATTAAGAAGCATTGATGCAGTTTTTACAGCATCAGTATAACTTCATGAGCTATTGGAGTTAAAAGATTACTGTAGGAGACATTTTCACGCATAAATGTACCGATTTTATGATATTTTTGCGCTACATACAGTTAGTTATATTCATTAAAATTTTTTTTAAAAAAAAAAAAAAAAATTAATCGATGATTTATAATCGAAATTGCATTATTATAATTTTTTTTTTATTTGTATAACTTCATTAATTTAATTAAAGATATTGGCAGGCAACTGTGGTGCTATGAATTCGTATGGATGAAAATTATACATTAAGTCAGTTTTACTTCATCAGACTTGGTGTGAATTCGCAGATACGTTATGCACGCCGGTGATATAAGAAGGATCATTACGTCGATAGAAGGTAATCAATCATGATTAGCCTTACGAGCACAATTAGTGAAAGCTTTTTTACTCTAAACATCAAAGAGGAAATCGATACATAATGAAATTCAAACATGTTTTTGTTTTTTTAAATATGTATGTTGGTCAATAATGAGTATAAAATACAATATAATAACAACATTAAAAAGTATTATGCAGAAAATATTAATTGAAAAAATTTTTTCGTTCAAAATTATATAGAATAAAATAAATTCAATTGCTCTACAGAACCCAGATTTTCATTATGGAATCTGAAATGAATCAGTCAATGATATACAGTATTTCATAATAATGTGGTATAAATTAATTTATACCTAATCGTCACAATTACCAGTTCACCTAAAAAAAGAAAAAATGATATACTTTGCAATGATTCATTTGCCGATGGAACAACTTTAATTATACCATTATATACTTTCGTGATTAGCACATGTGTAAACTTGTGAATCAGGCGCATAATAAGTCTAACGAAAATTTTCATTGAAACTAAACGAACAGTTATTCTTTTATCAAAATCACGTGACACAAATCAATCGACAAACATTTGTCTGTAACAATGAAGATAGATTTCTATAGTGAATTTTTTATTATGGAATTGGCGTGAATTAAAATGCTAATAGTGTATTTTGATTTTACAAGACTATATCGTTTCTATATAAATAAAATAACGTATGAAGAGAGGAAAAAGAAAATGAGGAATGAATATGAAACAAATGGAAGGAGTGATTTGGTAATTGGATATTTAAAGCTGTTCGAATCGGGAATGAAAAATTGATGGTTTTTTGCATTTAGTTTACTTTTTTTACAAATTATTTTCACGTGGATTTGTCGGCTTACCGTACAGCTTTATCGAGTGCTTGTGCGATATCTGCCAACTGTTATATTCATGGTTAAAATAAGTTAGTGGACTTTCTCGAGAAAAATTCAAATCCTAGAGACAAAAAAAAAAAAATCCTTACCAAATCCTCGGTTTCCTCTATTCCTACAGATAATCTTATTAAATTATCGGTAACACCTACAGCGTGACGGTGTTCCGCGGTAAGTGAAGCATGCGTCATTTTGGCCGGATGCTCCGCCAAACTTTCGACACCACCCTAAAATGAAATGTGCCACGCGTTAATCCACAAGTTGAATGATGATTCCGTGGAATGATAAATTGATTTTTGCAATAAGCATACCAAAGATTCGGCCAAAGTAAATAATTTTGTGCTTTCTAAGAACAACTTTGCCTCTTTGAAACCACCTCTAATCTTAAAACTAATCATCCCACCAAATCCTTTAGCCTGTTTCTTTGCTAATTTATGCTGTGGGTGACTCTCCAATCCTGGATATATAACTTCCACGACTTTGTCGGACTTTTCCAAAAATCTTGCGATTTCCAATGCATTCTTTTGATGTTGCTTCATTCGCAAATGTAAAGTTTTTAACCCACGGCTTGCAAGCCACGAATCAAATGGCGAGGGTACCGCTCCCATGGCATTTTGTAGAAACTTGAGTTTCTTATATATTTCGGAGTTATTGGTTATGGCTACACCCATCACGACATCAGAATGACCGTTTATGTATTTCGTGACCGAATGAACTACGATGTCAGCACCTAACTCCAGCGGGTTTTGGAAGTAGGGACTCATGAAGGTATTGTCGACTACCATAATAGCATTATGTTTGTGTGCTATCCTGGCAACCATTCGAATATCAACTAGACGAAGCGTTGGATTTGTTGGTGTCTCCACCCAAACAAGCTACAATATCAAAATGTGAGTGTTTAGATTTTGGCGTGCTCAAGAAATTACTAATTTCGAACTTTAAATTTTACGAAATAAGTACCTTTGTGTTTTGTTTGAAAGCAGCTTCAATGCCACTCGGATCAAATAAATCAACGAAAGTCGTATCCATTCCTTGGGTGTTCGCTACCTGTCTGAAGTAACGATTGGTGCCTCCATAAACATCATTCACGGATACAATGTGACCACCGTTTCCAATAGATGTGACAATTGTAGCAGTTGTAGCCGACCCTGATGAAAAAGCAAGAGCATGTCTTCCTTTCTCTAGCGATGCGATCGTTTCTTCGAATGCACTTCTAGTTGGATTACTTGATCGCGAATATTCGTAACCCTAGAATAAAGATATTTTTCGTCACTCGCTCTACATCATCCAAAGAACAGAAGCGCAAATTATAATGGAGAAATACCTTATGAACGCCAATGGAGGATTGTTTAAAAGTAGTAGATAGTGATATAGAAGGAATAACGGCATTTGTGTGTGGATCAGGTTCTTGGCCAACATGTATGGCCTTCGTTCCGAAGCCTTGTTTTAACCACTCATTGCCATTCTGATTATTGTCAGCGATTTCCAGTTCTCCGCTAGCAATATCACCTTCAATAATGTTAGGTGCCATGTTTACTCTTTTGTTGAAATTTCTGGAATTTCGAGTAGCGAAACGAAGTAGTGTTTGAGTTATTTGGCGAATTTTGAAGTGTGTATTGAGAGGAAATTTTATCTCAACAATGAAAAAATTGCTGCAATATTTATATTTTTTTTTTTCCTATGAATCGGTTTCATGCATATGTATATTACTAACATTATATAATTTATAATCAATATTTCACGATACTCAGTAGAAATGGCGTGCTCTTCAGCTTTATAACGTAATATATACGTGAGTCAATTACGTTCAGATGTGGATTGTGCTTTAAATTTCCAGTCTACCCGTTGTACTACATAAGTAGCCATATTACTAATACAATTATTGCATATCCAATGTAAGATGAATTTCTAATTTTGGCTAGGTTCAAAACGTTTTGATGAACGATGCTTTATGCGCATGCGTACAGCCACAGCCAAATTTCCTCATTGATCTAAGCAAACACAAACACGAGAAACAACGATCTAAACCAATTGACGATCGGTTATACGTACACGCAAATCTTTTGGTTTATAACAAAAAATCATATTTGAGTTCATGTTTTCTCGCCTTAAGAACCAAAGATAAACACCTGCGCTTGTATCCAAAATCTTTAATTAATACGAAAATCATGTGGTCACACAAATTGATGTTTCAAAAAAAAAAGGTACATACAAATTCATTCGTTTAATTGATATCAATATATCAAGATTTTACAGTATTTCCACTACGTCAGGAGCCCGTTCGCAAAAGTCTATCGTACACTTTTTTGATTTTTTTTTATTTGACGAATCTTGTGCTTAAGTGACAATTTTTTTTCATATTCACTTGCACTTGTATGCATCTTTTGAACGAATAAATTAACATCCGAATTACGTATGCCACGATATATAAAGAATTTCATAATGGTCATATTTTTCCTTTTATGTAAACGGAAAGGCTACTTCGAGATTTTATCTCGATATACGACCGATACACTGTTATTCTGTAACTCTTCTCCTGCACGATATTCCATTATTTTATTACTTTAAACAATATTTAAATTATATTATTTTATTACTTTAAACAATATTTAAATTATATTATTTTATTACTTTAAACAATATTTAAATTATATTTAAAACTTGAGATCTCACCATTATTCACACATCATACGCAATATCAAGCCTATCACAAGTTTTATCGATATTTTTTAAGAAATCGATTTTCCTATAATTACTAATTTTTGCTTTTTGAATGTGCACATTAAATCGAGCTGACACTTGTCGTGAGATACTGTACATGTTTGCACAATACTATCCGGGACGAAGTAGTCTATGGTAAAGTCTTATGTCTAATGAATGAGTAAATCTATAATCTAAAATATACTGTATATACAGTATATAGTCTATCAGAAATTTTTTATTCAACTATTATTCGAATAAATGTAAAAAATATTATAATTTATTCTTATTCTGAAACGTCATAAACATTTATCCTATAGTAACAACATTTACCACTTATGATTATTATATCGGTGATACTGTCGATATTTAAACTTGCAGTAAGTAATGAGATCTTTGGAAAGTTTGGATTTGTAATGCACCATAATTTAAAATTCGATATTATTTAATCAAACATATATAAATTAATGTTGTCATAAATTTGTTCAAACGTATCTCATCGGCTCATGGTTTATCAATTCATTGTTCACACATGATTTTCGATATCTTTTTTTAAAAAAGGTTTATTAAGTAAACATATTTTAAAATTAAAATAAACGTAAGTAACATTATTATATTTTTGCGATTAAAATATTGTATATTTATAGTAAATTGGATCAAACAATAAAAATACCAAATTTGCAGATTTTCAATACAACTGATACAATTAATAATTAATTCTAATATTAATTATTTTTATTAAAATTATTTTTTATTTTTATTTTATAAAATTAGTTTTAAAAAATCTTTAAAATCTTATAAAACTTTATATCTAATATACAATTTGTATTTTTTAATTAAATTATTAAATTTTAAGTTCAATTAATTAGTAAATAATTTTTTGTACTTAATAAAAATAAGTATTATTATTTTATCATTATTTTTAATTTAATTTTATAAATTTATACATTGAAATAAAGCTCCTAATGATACTACTTCAATATCTGTTTGATATCAGTTCGATACTTAAATTTACTATAAAATTATATGAATGGATTACAATCCATATATTAAATTTACTATAGATCGGTACTATTTCAATATCACTTTGATATTAATTTGGTACTTTTCAGAACCCTACATTAAAATAATTTTAATAATTTTTTATTATTCCTATTTTATAATATAATTAAAATCATTTTTTTTTTTACACCTAATCAGGCCATATATTTCAAGTTTATTTTCATGCAAACTCGTAAGTTCGGACTGACCCGAGGTACAAATGGATAGATACATATAGTGTTTGACAGATTTATACTAAAGGTTAAACTTATATACTATATATGGTATACCCATCAACGGCCATTGACCTCTAGATATAATTAAAGGTAATGAAAAAAGTTGCTCTATCTTGAACCATGTTCCTTGTGGATCTCAATATCATTATCAGCCCTTCACTCAAGACTGTTTGTCCCAACTTAACCTCTGTGGTCCTAAGGTATAAAAATTTTTATTTTTTTGGAAAAGATAAAGGAAAAGGATAAAGGGGAAAGAGAAAAGTTTGTACTGATAAAATAAAAACCCTACCTTTAATCTTGAGGAGAAAAGAAACCAGCACAAGAGGGAAGGAGGAGACTTTCAAACACTTCTTATCAAGAGGACATCTCGACACCTTGCTCTTTCGTTTTATCCAATTACATTATCAGTTATAATGTGGTATGACGTGGGCATATGTGGATACGTATCTTGTTTACATTTTTTTTACGTGTTAATCAATCAATCCAAGATTTCGTCCAATCACCAACCAGAGAATTCGGTGTAACAGAAAATTCAGGGTCAAACTGAGGTAGACAAAATTCTCCAGAAAAAACCAAGAAAATTTTGACATGCTTGAAAGTATTATGCAGGATATATGATTGATAAGAGAGGATTATATACCAAAGCTGTAGATTCCTATCAGCTTATCCATCTGCCTAGACCACAGGAGTTTTGAATCTTATAGTGAACTCAAGATTCTTATGGAGCTTGGGAAATGCATTCGCTTGATAGAACCAACTAGCTTATTCACCTGCCTCAAAACCAAGGTATTTGCTTATGGTGGACCCAAGGTTCTTATGGAGCTTGAGAAATGCATTCACTAGTGGCTCACTTTCTAGAGTTCCAGACCTTTGGAGAAAATAGTGGAGGATATTTTTCTACAGGTTTCTTCTTTCCAGTAAAGTGTTCTTGCTATAGATCAAATGGGTAAAGCTTTATTTATTTTGTCACTGAAATATCCAAAGTTTTCGAAGAAGGAAGAGTAAACAAGTGGAGAAGGCATCTGCCTTCAGAAAGTAATGTTTTTAAAGAAAGTGTATAGATTTTATTATTAAAAATAAAAATTATTTTTGAGAACGTTTGTTTTTTGGGTTGGCAAGGGGATCAGCAGAAAGAGTTTTCAAAACTATATAATTAAAATTATTTAAATTTTTAAAAACTTTATTAAATAATCTTATTTTTATATTCTTAATTATATTAATATTAATTTTTATTATTTTATTAATTAGTTATTGAAATATCAAAATTAAAAATTAATAGTTTCAATTTTTTTTATTTTATACTATATATTAATACAAATATTTCAAAAAAAATTTATTGTTTTTTTTAAAATTTGTAAATCTATAATATAGTGATTAGTATTTCATAGGTTAAATTATAAAATATTAGTTTAATTACATATAAAGGTGATTGAATAGAATTAATATAATATTTGATATTATAATAGTTATATGTTATTTTTTATAAGAAACCATTTTACATGTTAATCTAACAAGCATTGAAATTGTAACCTTTTTATTAAGATATAGTAATATAACAATTATTTGGATGATATTATAATGATCATTTAATGAAAGAAGCTATAGAATCACCTATATATTTGAATATATAGAATGGATTATACTCTATTTTAATCAATTTCAAATTATCAATTGTTGACTGTCAAATAAGGAAACTTTGAAGAAAAACACTGAACTGACATTAATATTTTATGCAATATATAAGGATTCTAATGATTCTGTGTTCGATTCCATTCAATTCTAATTCTTATAATAAATTTAATAAGTGAATTATAATCCACTTATGTTTTTTATATATATATGAGTCTATATAAGTCTATACGATTTCAATTTTCAGAACCATGACAATATGATATTTTCAATAGTTTATATATATAGGAATTGTATCTTGCTTAATATTTATGTCCCTATATTTGATAATCTAAATCAATTGGTTCCAAAATTAGAGTATCTACTAGAAAATTAAGGAACTTGGAAGTTTACTTAGCATAACCTGTATAATCCTTAAGAAATTATACCCCACTTGATTATAAGAGTCCCTAAATTTAATAGCTTAAAGTTAACCAACAGTTAAAAACTAAAGCATTTATTAAAGAGTATATATATTATGTTGAAAATCCTTTATTATATAGTATATAGGTGAAAAGGTGTAATATAATAAGTAATTTAGATAAGTAATCAGTAATATCTATTATCTTTATATAAAAATTGAACTGATAGATTAAATGGTTTAAAACTAATAGTAGGATTTTTATTCCTTAGATAGGTCTTTCCAAAAATATAAATCTACTTTAAAAGTATTATTAGTATTATTGAAATAATAAAAATAGAATAAACTAGTATTTAATTATAGTTTAAAATTATAAATAATATTTAATATATAAAAAGTAAACAAAACACTAGTTGAAATTTAATCATTTGGCATATCGAATTATTGCTGAATTTTTAAATTTTTTATAATTAAATTTAAGTCAAATTTATGCTGTTTGATGCCACTCGGCATAAAATTAAATAT